TGGGGTCCCCCTAACCAACTTTTTTAGACTGAAGAAGCTGCTTGGGCAAGTAGTGAAAGGTCTCTAACCAAAAGAAAAGTCCAGTTGCCATGACTCAACCTCCAGTTAATGATTCCAGTTGTTCTATTCTTGCAAGCAGGCCTGCTTTACATCTCTTTGTGGCAATATTTGTGGCAACAATATCTCCCCATCTGGGGGAGATGGGCGGCATATAAATTTAATAAATAAATATTTGCAAATGCTAGTTTTTTTAATCAACACAGAGAACTCCTTTATTAGAATTCTAGTCTTATAATCAGAAGCCAGGATAATTGGTGAAGATACATAGGGGAGTATCAGAAACTGTTTAATGGACAGATTTTACTTTTTAAATATTATTCCTGTTTTCACTGCATGAACTAAATAGCTTGTTTAGATAATGGGAAACTGAAAGGCATACATTGCATAGGCAAAGTGTAAATAGTGAAATCTGAGAAATGATTTAATTGGTTCTTCTATACAGCAAATTCTTCAATTCACAAATCTGGTAGCTCTAGCTTACAAACTGACAGCTTGGCTAACATGTTTATACTCAGATTTAACATTAGTCAGTTTATTCTTCAAGAGAGAGAATATTAAAACTTATTATTAATGGAAATCCTTATTTAAAATCAAATCTGATTTTTTTCAATCCACTGTAAATACTGTTAATCTTTGTCTCACCAAAAAAAAAAAAACTGACAATATCTGATAGGAATATAAACAGGATATATCTGGCAATGTATTTGCCCCATGCAGCTGAGCAAAATGAGCCTGTCTAAAAATGATGACACCATTCTGAATCCTTATATATCTGAAAAATTCAACTCAAGAAAGCTATTGGAGTGAACTATTCCTGCCAAACTTCAAATGCTCTACAGAAAGTCTGGTGTGAGGTGCCTGGCTTTTATAATTCTTTTCCCAGCTGCTTTAGATTTCACGTGTTTTTTTTTTAATCACTTTCAATATCGTTAGCTGCCTGGAATCATGTACTGTATTTGAGATGGGTGGCCATACAACTAAATAATAAAGCGAGCATGTCAATTTCCATCCGTTGAAACAAAGGCTGGTCTCGCGGTGAAGGCTCCAGGCCCAGAAAGCAGGAGGCGGCGAGTTCTAGTCCCGCCTGAGGCAGCAAAGCCGGCTGGGTGACTCTGGGCCGGTCCCTCTCCCTCAGCCCAGCCCACCTCGCAGGGTTGTTGTGCGGAAGAGAGGAGGAGGGGAGGATTAGTGACGTTCGCCGCCTTGAGTTATTCACAAGCATATTAATAAAGGCGGGGCTGATAAAATCTAAAAAAAAGTCCTGGTGTGTCATCAGCGGGAACAACGGACACGGATCGCGGGGAAGAGCAGGCGAGGATCCCGAGCAGCGCCGAGCCAGATCCTCCCACCGTCCCCGACGGGGCCTCCGCCGAACTGGCGGGACAAAGGCTCCGGCCCGGCGCCTGCCCGCCC